ATAGTATCTCTTAATGATTTCTTAGGATTGTAGATACCAATCTTTTACTAGTTTTAGATATCATTCTTCAGTAGATTCTCTTGGGTTCTTCATGTACATATATGGGTCATATGCAAATGATCATTTTATTTCCTAGTTGTGTTTTGAGTTGGGTAACTCTTTATTTCAAAAAGACATACTCTGTCTCTTTAGTATCCAAACAACTGGATTGTTGGTTTGTGTTCTTCCCAGTTGGTTCCCAAATAAACTGCATGAGACAAAAGTACATTTCACATCACTAGGACACTGAAAAAAGCTAGCAGAAATCATAGAAATTTCATCAAATAAATAGGAGCAGAGAAAACAATTTAAAAGGACTAGCATACTACCAGCCATAGAAGGTAGAGAAAGCAAGAGAGCAGTCAAAGGCACGTGGAACACCCAGTACTCTCCACACTCACAGAGCAAAGTTCTAAGATAATAAGTACAGTTAAAAAATACTTGTTTGCAAGATCCATACAGTGTTTCTTTTGCATTGATTGGGACTGAGTACTAAGCAATAGCATTTTTAGACCCAGGGGAGGGTGATAAGATATGTTTCCCTTGTCCAAATTAGTAGGAAAATACTCTTTTTTGTTGTGAGTGAATGTGAGATATATGATTCAGGAAGCAAAATGCCATTATGTTTATTCAGGTTAACAGTTAATTAAGAAAATCTATTTTTTTTAAACTTGAGGAGAAGGTTATACTGCTGGTGGCTAAGTTCTGGCACAGGGGAGTATATCTAATTGGTGGATTGAGTAAATGAGTGGATGTTTGCAGGGGAAGTGGAATTATAGACCCGGAAGTGGCATAGAAGAACCTCCTCAGTTGATGGAAATCTTTTATATATTGATTTGCTTTGAACAAATGGTGCTAAAACAACTGGATATCCACATTATACTATATGCAAAATTTAAGTCAAATTGGAACGAGGACATAAGTGTAAGCTAAGACTATTAAATTTTAAAAGAAAATGTAGATTTCAGTCTTTATGACCTCGGATTAGGCAACAGTTTTTTAGATGTGACACTACAAGCACAACAAACAAAAGAGAAAAATAGATAAATTGGATATCCTCAAAATTTTAATTTTTTCTGCACCAAGGAATACCATCAAGAAACTGAAAAAACAACATAAATAATGGAAGAAGTTTTGCAAATTATATATCTCATAAACAACTTCTGTCTTGAATAAAGAATTCATACAACGCAATAATAATAATAACAACCAGTTGAAAAATGAGTAAGTGATCTGAATAGACATTTCTCCAAAGAAGATAGTAAAGGGTCAATAAGCACATGGGAAACACCCAATGTCACTAGTAATCATATAAATGCAAATCAAAACCACAAATCAAACACCACCTCACGTTCTTAAGATGGCTGCGACCAAAAAGATAAACAATATAAGTATTAGTGAGGATGTGGAAAAAATGGAATCTACATATATTACTAATAGGAATATATAGTCACTTTGGAGTAAGTCTGCAGTTCTTGAAAAAGTTAAACAAAGTTGCCATTTGACCCACCACTTCTACTTCTTAGTATATATTCAAGAAAAGTAAAGTCACCTGTCCACACAAAGCCTTACAGACTAATATTTTATAACATCATTATTCATAACAGCCAAAAAGTGGAAAGAACTTATATGTCTACTAACTGGTGGTTTATTTATACAATGGAATGTTACTTGGCAGTAAAAATGAATGAAGTACTGATACAGATACAACATGAATGGACCGTGAAAACATGTTACATAGAAGAAGCCAGTAACAAAAAAACACACATGGAATGATACCATTTATGAAATGTCCAGAATAGGCAAATCCATGCAGACAGAAAGTGGATTTGTGGCTACCTAGTGTGAGAGTAAATGAGGTATAACTTTTAATGAGTACAAGGTTTCTTTTTTGAGTGATGAGAATGTTTTGAAACTGACTGGTGATAGTTGCTAACCTTGAGTACACTAAAAAGCATTGAACTTTAAATGGTGAATTGTACAGTATGAGAATTATATCTCAATAATGCTGCTACTAAAAATAATAGCAATGGTAAATGGATTAGCCAAAGAACATATATTCATAACTCATAGATACAGACAGCAATCCGGGGATGACCAGAGGGAAGGGGTGGGGTGGGAGATGGGTAGAGGGAAACAAAGAGGGGAGAAATGGAAAAATTGCAACAATGTCAACAATAAATTAATTTAAAATTTTAAAATAATAGCAATGGGAGTGTAAATGAATACAATTGTCTGTGAGTTAATAATTTTTCAATCTGAGTGAAAAGTACAAGGAGGTTCATTACATCATTTTGTCTACTTCAGCTTCTGTGGTAAATTTTCCTTAATAAAGAGGAAGTTTCCGGCCCTTAACCCACAAGTCTTAATATCAGAACTCCTTATGAATGGTTGTGTCCTGTGTTTAAAGTGGAGGAATGGTACGTGCTTTTGCCTCTTATCCTGATTTGTTCTGGTATTTTTCCCTCTCCAGTGTCTGTAAGATGGAGACAGAAGTCCTGTCTACAGAAGGACTCATTTTAAAGCAGTTCTTTGGTTCATGTTACTGTTTCACCAAGAAAGAGATATCACTGCTGGGAATCCCTACCTTGTTACTAGTCAGAGCTGATAAGTTGGGAGAATCTGTTGTAGAATCCTTTTAGTAACACTGAATCATTGGAGGGAAACGCCATTTGCACTACCTCTGAGTATTGCTCAGGACTCAGTATGTCTGCATAGGGTGAATGTAGTCTGTGGGAGAACTGGAAAGCATGGTGGGCTGCTAGGGTGGAAGAAGCAGTATAGTACATAAAAACGCATATTCTTAGAGTGAGGAAAAGTTTATTCTTTCCCTTCATTGATTGAATTCAGATGCCTGTGTGGAGCCAAGGCAGTGTGGTAGTCTTCGATGAGGCGAAGAAAGAGAGGATGCAGAGATGTCTAAAACACATTGCTTGCAAATGAAATGTCTACAGATCCTCTAGAGATGGTTAAAGACCAATGTATAAATAGCTATAATAAGGTAGGGTATGATAAGTGCAAAAGAACAACCGGAGGAAGGAGGTGAGAAACCACATCTGTTTAATGGGAAAATCAGGAAGATGAGTGGATATAAATGTCTTTTGACATGGACATTTGCAGTGAGGTAAGATTTTGTTTGTGCAAAAGATGTGTGAACAAAAACAGAGAAACCAGAAAACACAGAGTATATTTGAGAAACAGAAAGTAATCTTGAACTGGAGCATAAAAAGATGTAAGCATGAAAGGAAAAGCTGAAAAATCATTATGTGAGTGTAGATCATAGATAGACTTAAAGGGTAGATTAAGAAGTTTTTGTAATTTAGCAATGAATGGGAACTGTTACACTCTTTCAATGAATAATCAATCCAGACAGAATGTAGATCTATTGTGTTGGTCAGTTAAAGCTGGACTGGAAAAACATGTCCAGGAACTGATTTTGATACTGTAATTGGGTAAAGTTATTGTGATATAGTGAATTAGAATGAAAATGCAGGAATGGATGCAAGCAGTATGGGAGTTAGGACAGAATATGGTGCCAGGTAGCTGTGAAGGAGCAAGAGTTTCAGGAATAAATCTGAACAGCTATGGGAAAGAAGAGATCAAGAGGGACAATGTAGGTTTGAAGGAAATTGTTTGTGATGTTGGTTTTGACAGAGTTTAATGGATCCAAATGTTCAGGTTTGCTTTTAAGAGTTTGTTGCTTCCAAGTGAGGGCCATGTTTGAGAGGTCAATTTCAGTAACCTCACATTAGAGGTTATGGTTGAATGGGCAGAAATGGATAAGATTGTCAGGAGTCAGAGAGACGAGGCCAAAAGAAGGATATTGGGAAAACTAGCCACTAAAGAGCAACTCAAAAGATGTATATGAAAGCCAAGTAAGTAAAGAGTCTTTAGAAGGAAGCAGTATACAGATTTTTTCAGTGATGATCACTGCCTAAAAAAATAAGTGTGTCAGCATAGTTAAAAGCATGGAGGTAGCCCTGACTGGTGTGGCTCAGTGGATTGAGTGCCGGCCTGGTAGCCAAAGGGTTACTGGTTCTATTCCCAACCAGGGCACATGCCTGGGTTGCAGGCCAGGTCTCCAGTAGGGGCCATGTGAGAGGCAACCACACATTGATGTTTTTCTCCTTCTCTTTCCCTGTCTCTTCCTTCTGTCTAACAATAAATAAATAAAATCCTTTTTAAAAAGCATGGAAATAGACTGCTGTGATCAAATCCTAGATCTGCCGCAAGTTATTTAAAAATTATTGCCCAGTTTACACACACACACACACACACACACACACACACACACACACACACAGAGGTAGAAAGGTACCTGCCTCATCGGGTTATTGTGAGTAGCAAATGAATTAATGCAAGTAAGATAAGGCATTTGGAAGAATGTCTAAAAATGGTATTAAACATTAGCTATTTAATATTATTCATACAATATGATGTTGGGAAAATAGATTTAGGAGAATTACGGTGTTTGCAACCATGTGAGTAGAGAGGTAATTAACACCAAGGTAAGACATGATGCAGTAGTTTAATGAGGAGCAAATAGATTTTTAAGTAAAAACTTTGGTTTAAGACTTAAAGTGATTTTCTACAAGTATGATGTTTGTTTCATGAATTAAATAATCATTTTTATTGTATTATTTCAGAGGATATAAGGATAGATAGATGGTCACTTTGATTTTTCCCTGTCTTGAAGTTCTAGTCTAGTAAGTTTTAGTATTTCCTTTGTTTCCAAACTTTAATGAATTTCAAGTGGGTAGTATTTTGTATTTATCATAAAATGGATTTATAGCAGAAGAATTCATTGCAATTATAGTTGTTTATGATTTTTATTGGTGATTTTTTGTAAACTTACAACCAAAAATGAATAACAGCTGTGGAAATAAAAACAGAAACATTAACTGCAGGAAATTAACTGCAGTAATTTCAGGAATCATTTCTAGTATTTAAAAATTTTTTGCGTGCTCGCTTCGGCAGCACATATACTAAAATTGGAACGATACAGGGAAGATTAGCATGGCCCCTGCGCAAGGATGACACGCAAAAATTTTTTGCTGTCTTTTTAGAAAAAACATTAACTTAGCCACTCTAAGCTCCTCTACTCAGATCACAGACTAATCTATTCGTTAGGTGATTTTAACCTTAGCATTAACCTTATTAACTTAATTATTAATCTTAAGAACTGGATTCTTAAAATGTCAGTGAACATTCAATTTTTATTTACATTCTTACACAATTTTATTTTTATTATATATTGTAGAAAAATATACTTTATTTATTAAAATCATCGGGACTTCAGAATATTTGAATTTTACAATGATCATCATTGTGATGTATTCTTTTATTTTTAATGACTTCATAATCTGTCGTTTTTCTTGTCAATCAATAATTACTCAATATAATAAACACTCATGGTTTAGGAATGTTTATGGTTTGCAGAGTATTTTCACATACCTTTTTATTATTCATCAGTATTGTCATCCTTATCCTTTAGAGATAAGGAGGCAGTTTCAATGAGATTGTCATTTGCCTAAGACTACTAATGGAACTGGATTTCTGGTTACTTTCTTCCAACTCAGAGTTCTACATCCCTGGGCTCTTTCTGTTACATTACTGTAATTTTACCAAACAAATATAACTGTTTTTAGAAAATAAGTAAATCTCTTAAAAAGCAGTTGTTCTTGGCCAGCCCTATTCTCCTTCCCCCAACACAAATACCCATTGGCAAATGTCCTTAGAAATTGTCGAGTGTTGCACAGTGGGATAGGGTTGCAGGTGCAACTGGCATTCTAATGAGTAGAGACCAGTGAGCTGTCAGACATTCTGCAAAGGACAGCATACTTTCTCTCCCCTCACTGAGAATGGTCACCCCAGAGTGTCATCATCACCAAAGTTGGGGAACCTCATCAGGAAGAATAAGACCTATTTACCCATTCTTGACCTGGATATCCAGACCCCTTCTTATTTACCTGAAATGTTTTCTACTTTTCCCAAAATTATTTAAAATCTAATTTTTTTTTTAAAATTTTATTTGGTTACTTTTCAAGTACATTTTTTTTTCTCTTCCCCCCCCCCCGCCCGGTCTCCCCCCTCCCTCCCATTCCCCCCCCCCCCCCCCCCAGTCCTCATCTCTGTGTCATTCATACTTGTTCCTCAAAATCCCTTCCCCTTTTTCCCCTTAAGTTCCCTTCCCTCTCCCCTCTGGTAGCTGCCCACTTGTTCTCTATTTCAGCGTCTTTGTTTTTATTCTGTTTGCTTGTTTGTTTTATTCTTTAGCTTCCTGTCAAAGGTGAGATCATATGGTATTTGTCCTTCAATGCCTGGCCTATTTCACTCAGCATAATGCTTTCCAGTTCCATCCATGTTGTTGCAAAAGGTAGTAGCTCCTTCTTTCTCTCTGTTGCATAAAATTCCATGGTGTATATGTACCACAATTTTTGGATCCATTCATTTACTGATGGGCACCTAGGTTGCTTCCAACTCTTGGCTATTGTAAATTGTGCTGCTATGAACATTGTGGTGCATAGGTTCTTTGAAATTGATGTTTTAGGATTCTTGGGGTATAATCCTAGCAGTGGAATTGCTGGGTCAAAAGGCAGGTCAATTTTTATTTTTCTGAGAAAATTCCATACTGTTTTCCATAATGGTTGTACCAGTCTACAATCCCACCAACAGTGAACTAAGGTCCCCTTTTCCCCACACCCTCTCCAACATTTGTTGTTTGTTGCTTTGTCTATTATACCCATCCTGACTGGTGTAAAGTGGTATCTCATTGTGGTTTTAATTTGCATCTCTCTGATAGCTAATGATATTGAGCATCTCTTCATGTGTCTCTGGATATTCTGTATGTCCTCTTTAGAGAAGTGTCTGTTCAAGTCCTTTTCCCATTTTTCAATTGGGTTCGATGTCTTCCTAGAGTGGAGTCGTGTAAGTTCTTTGTATATTTTGGAGATTAAACGTTTGTCTGAGGTATCATTGGCAAATAGGTTTTCCCATACAGTTGGTTGTCTTTTTAATTTAATACTGTTTTCTTTAGCCATGCAGAAGCTTTTTATTTTGATAAGATCCCATTTGTTTATTCTTTCCTTTATATTCCTTGCTCTAGGGGACATATCCGTAAAAATGTTGCTGCGTGGAATATCTGAGATTTTCTTGCCAATGTTCTCCTCTAGGACTTTAATGGTGTCATGGCTTATATTTAAGTCTTTTATCCACCTTGAATTTATTTTGGTGTATGGTGTAAGTTGGTGCTCAAGTTTCATTTTTTTGCACGTAGCTGTCCAGTTCTCCCAACACCATTTGCTGAAGAGGCTATCTTTACTCCATTTTATGTTACTGCCCCCTTTGTCAAATATTAATTGACTGTAGAGAGTTGGTTTGATTTCTGGGCTCTCTGTTCTATTCCACTGGTCTATGTGCCTGTTTTTATGCCAGTACCAGGCTGTTTTGATTACAGTGGCTTTGTAATACAGTTTGATATCAGGTATTGTGATCCCTCCTACTTTGTTCTTCTTTCTCAAAAGAGCAGCTGCTATTCGGGCTCGTTTATGATTCCATATAAATTTTTGAAGTGTTTGTTCTATGTCTGTGAAATACGCCATTGGTACTTTAATAGGTATTGCATTGAATCTGTATATTGCTTTGGGTAGTATGGACATTTTGATGATGTTAATTCTTCCAATCCATGAACACGGTATATGTTTCCATTTGTTTGTGTCTTCCTTGATTTCTTTCTTCAGTGCTGTGTAGTTTTCTGCATACAGGTCTTTTACCTCTTTGGTTAGGTTTATTCCCAGATATTTTATTTTTCTTTTTGCTATATCGAATGGGATTTTTTCCTTGATTTCTGCTTCTGCTGATTCGTTGTTTGTATACAAAAATGCCTTTGATTTCTGGATATTGACTTTGTATCCTGCTGTTTTGCCAAATTCATTAATTAGTTTGAGCAGTTTTTGGGTAGAGTCTATAGGATTTTCCATGTACACTATCATGTCATCTGCAAACAGTGACAATTTTGTTTCCTCCTTTCTTATTTGGATGCCTTTTATTTCCTTTTCCTGCCTGATTGCTGTGGCCAAAACTTCTAATACTATATTGAATAGGAGTGGTGAAAGTGGACATCCTTGTCTTGTTCCTGATCTTAGTGGAAAAGCTTTTAGTTTTTGTCCATTGAGTATGATATTGGCTGTAGGTTTCTCATAAATGGCCTTTATTATATTGAGGAATGTTCCCACTATTCCCATTTTGCTGAGTGTTTTTATCATAAATGGGTGTTGTACTTTATCGAAAGCTTTTTCTGCGTCTATTGATATGATCATGTGGTTTTTGTCTTTGCTTTTGTTTATGTGATGAATTACATTTACTGTTTTGCGAATGTTGAACCATCCTTGCATCCCTGGGATGAATCCCACTTGGTCATGGTGTATAATCTTTTGGATATATTGTTGGATGCGATTTGCTAATATTTTGTTGAGGATTTTAGCATCTATGTTCATCAGCGATATTGGCCTGAAGTTTTCTTTCTTTGTTGTATCTCTATCTGGTTTTGGAATTAGGATGATGCTGGCTTCATAAAAGGAGTTAGGGAGTTTTCCATCCTTTTGTATTTTTTGGAATAGTCTGTGAAGAATGGGGGTTAGGTCTTCCTTAAATGCTTTGTAGAATTCTCCTGTGAATCCATCTGGTCCAGGGCTTTTGTGTGATGGGAGTTTTTTGATTACTGCTTCAATTTCTTTTGCTGTTATTGGTCTATTCAGGTGTTCTACTTCTTTTTCATTGAGTTTTGGGAGATTATATTTTTCTAGAAATGTGTCCATTTCCCCTAGGTTCTCAAATTTCTTGGCATACAGTTCTTCATAGTAATTTCTTACAATCCTCTCTATTTCTGTGGTGTCAGTTGTAATCTCTCCTCTTTCATTTCTGATTGTGTTTATTTGTGTCCATTCCCTTCTTTTCTTGATGAGCCTACTTAAAGGCTTGTCTAGTTTGTTTATTTTTTCAAAGAACCAACTCCTGGATTCATTGATCTTTAGAATTGTACTTTTAGACTCTATGTCATTTAGTTCTGCTCTGATCTTGGTTATTTCCTTCCTTCTACTTGCTTTGGGCTGTTTTTGTTGTTGTTCCTCGAGTTCTTGTAGGTGTAGAGTAAGTTCATTTGTTTGAAATGTTTCTTTTTTCTTTAGGTAGGTCTGTATTGCTATAAACTTCCCTCTCAGGACTGCCTTGGCTGTATCCCATAAGTTTTGGGTTGTTGTGAGATCATTTTCATTTGTTTCCAGAAACTTTTTGATTTCTTCCCTAATTTCATTCTTGTCCCATTCATTGTTTAATAGCATACCATTCAGTCTCCATGATTTTGGGTGTTTTGGGTTTTTTCCTCTGGGGTTGGTTTCCAGTTTCAGTCCCTTATGGTCAGAGAAAATGCTTGGTATGATTTCAATATTCTTGAATTTGTTGAGGCTTGTTTTGTGCCCTATCATGTGATCTATCTTTGAGAATGTACCATGTGCATTTGAAAAGAATGTGTATTTAGCTTCTTTGGGGTGAAGAGCTCTGTATATATCAGTTAGGTCCATTTCATCAAGGGTGTTGTTTAATGCCGCAATGTCTTTGTTGATATTTTGTTTGGAAGATCTGTCCATTTTTGATAGTGGGGTGTTAAAATCCCCCACTATAATTGTGTTGCTGTCTATATCTTTCTTGAATTCCTCTAAGATTTTCCTTATATATTTTGGTGCTCCTATGTTGGGTGCGTATATATTTATGATGTTAATGTCTTCTTGGTGGATTCTTCCCTTGAGTATTATGAAGTGACCTTCTGGGTCACTCTTTATGGCTCTTTTTTTGAAGTCTATTTTGTCTGATATGAGAATTGCTACCCCAGCTTTTTTTTCTTGTCCATTTGCTTGGAAAATTTGTTTCCATCCTTTGATTTTTAGTCTGTGATGGTCTTTTGTCCTGAGGTGGGTCTCTTGTAGGCAGCATATGTGTGGGTCATACTTTCTTATCCATGACGCTATTCTGTGTCTTTTGATTGGAGCATTTAATCCATTTACATTTAA